TTTTCTTTTTTTTAATTTATATGTGACTGTGAAGGTTGCTGGGAGCCTAAAGGTTTGAATTTAACTGTTCAAGTCTTATCACAGAAGCAGTGTACTTCCTTGCACTGAGGCACCAGGAGATATTTTTTTTGTTTCACAAAAGCATGACCTTCTGCAGTTGTATTTCCAGGTTGCCACAGCCTCCACTGGAGGAGTCAGGTCAAATTGACAGAAGCCCTTAATGGAGGATAGGTTACGTGGCAAAGCAGATGTTGACTGATGAGAGCTTTTATTAAGCTGGAACAAAATAGTCTTGTTATGGTTGCTCTGGTAGTAGGAACATTTTCTTGTGATGCTGAGCTGATCTGGTTTTGTATATAATAAGCTTTGGACAAAACAGCGTGTCATTATGGTGATGGTGACAATGCCTTTACTGCCATCGTGATTTCAGAATGCATGGGGTTTGGGGTTTCTTCACCGGTGATTAATAGCTGTAGAGTTATTCAGGAATTTAGTTTCATCTTGATCTGAATGTGAGATTTTTTCATTTGAATCATCTGAATCTGTTTCTGTTATTCATGATTTCACCGGTGATTAATAGCTGTAGAGTTATTCAGGAATTTAGTTTCATCTTGATCTGAATGTGAGATTTTTTTCATTTCAATCATCTGAATCTGTTTCTGTTAGTCATGATTTGACCAGCTCACACAGCTGTGATAATTGCGCTGGTTTTGTTACGCCGGTTGTTGTAATTACAGATGCCAATGTAGTAGAGCAGTCTGAAACTGGACCTGTAATTTCAGGGCCCTTTGCCTGCCTCTTTGCTAGTTGACCTACCTCAATTTGACCCTCTCAAAGGAGGAAGTGCTAGATGTGAGGAGAATACTATAATAACCAAATGAAATGTTTTCTCAGGAAAAAAGTAAACAAAATGACCTATTATAAAACACTTTCTCAAATTTCTTTGGTCATTGACATAATTTGCAAAATATGCAGTTGCTGAATCACACATTGTGCAATTTTTTGATGATGCAGCTCTGAAAACAAGGATTTTATGTTTGGGTAGACCTGATTGCAGTATTTGCTATGAAGCGCTAGATGTCCATCAGCATTTCACTTGCTTGTCTAAAGTTTAGTTAAGGAAATTACAAAAAACACTCCACAAATACTTCCAACCACTTTGTCACGTGACTTAGCTGTTCAGCATAGAGCTACAAATATTGAAATTCAAGGTGTTACAAAATTTCAGCTGTGTACTGAGACAACTTCTCAGGCCTCTAGACCACATGATTTCGAAACTTGTTGAAGTGAGGTGTCTTGGTCTTTCAGATTACACAAGTCACTGAAGTCAGCTGAAGGTCACTGTTCAGTCTTTAACCATGCTTCAGTGGAAAGCTTCATAAAGGATATTTACTGTATTCTAACTGATCTGTAGCTTTAAACAGACGAGGCAAGGGAGAGTGACAAAGCATTTTCATGAACACGTGAGCTTGGGCACGCCACAGTTTCAATATGGACTAGAGTTCTTAACAGCTGTATTGGATGCTAGTGTTATGCTGCCTGTTTAAGGGTAACTCTTAGCTCTTCATAATATTGACCTGTTAATGTTTCGTATAGGCTTCAATAAGATCATCTGGTGCTGTTCTTCAGGAAAGCTGATAATAATCCATATTCCATACCATACTTTTTTGGCATGAGTAGGTATAAATGGATCTGTGCTACAGAATCAAAATTCTCTGTGTAGAAAATACGTCCTAATGGGACATACAGCACTGTGAGAATGAAAGGGAATTAATGAGTTTCCCTAGTCTAGTAATTTCTTTTTTCTTTTTGAAATAATACATTGTCTGTAACTATATGCAGAGTCATTACCCACACAAAGTGAACTGTCAAGTAGTTTAATCTCTTGCTTTCATTTGCATTTTGCCTCCAAACCTCTCCCTGCTTAAAATGTGTTGCTGTTGTTGCTTACTCAACTTTAGTATGAGAGAGTAGTTCCAGGTGTGTGTAAAAAAGAAAAAAGTGCATGGAGCTCTAACAGACATGTGGGGCACTTGTGTTCTCAGGTGCTGGTGTCATTGAATAGTTGCCCAGGGCTTTGTATGGGTCATTCTTCATATTAGTAGTTAACTCCAAGTTTCATTGCTGATGCAGTATTGGAACTTCTGGAGCTTTCTCTTTGAGATGCTAGCTTTTTTTTTAAGAACTGTGCTCAGTTTGTTGCCATGTTGTTTTGCACTTTAGCCCAGTACTGTTAAAACTTGCATGCCAAAGTGCTCTGAATTTGTGCTTATCCAAAATGTATGCTTATATGCCATCTTACATTGATTATAAGAATATGAGAGCAAGGAGTACTTGCCAAGCTCTTATTTATCATCATACTCAAGCTTTTCTAGGAAGAGCCAAGACTTCTGACATATTTACTCAGAGCTGCCAGTAGTAGCAGGTACTAGACTTTGAATGGACGTGATGTAGCCTTACTTCTAAATCCCATTCTCCCTGGAAATGTTCCAAAGGAAATGATAACTTACTTGCAGTGTTAGCAAAGTAAATAAAGCACAAGTTACTCCAGTACCCTAGCAGAAGTTTCAGTTGGCAGTAGTGAAAGCAACAGCTGTGGCAGTCTTCTGCGAGGAATTACAGGCAGGTAATCTTGAAAATTAAATGCTAAGAGAGCCCCTCTCACTTCTTTGTCTTGCAGAGTTGATTCTGCTTTCCACCAGTGCAAAATGGTCAGGAGATGAAAATTTTCTTGTGCATATGCAGAAGTAGGCCAAATGGAGGTTGTGCAATCAACCTGAATTACTGCACTTACTAAGCAGAGAGATCCCTAGAGAGGAATGAAATGCTTTTTAAAATGTGGCTCCCACGGTAGGCTTCCTTTTCATCAGCTTCACTTTTTCTGTGGTGCTGTAACTAAATTTTCTTAGCACAGTTGAAGACTGATCTTTGATCCTTTTCCCTTATACTGCAGTCTCTTGGGCGCCGAACCATTACTGCACTGAACAATTACACTCAGCATCTGAATTGGACTTGCATTTCTGGAAGAAAATCATGTTTTATTTAGGTCTTGATTTACTCCTTAGAATGCTTCAATTCTGCTCATTGTTTTTAAACTTTTTCACAACAAACTTAAATTTCATATGACAGAATAAGTGGGCAGGTTATTTGCTCCAATGTAGTTGACTAAAAACTTTTCTCAACAGCATCTTATTTTGACTTTTTCTCCGTCTTTGCAGTGCATTTTTTAGATACTTTTCTTGGTTGCTCTGGCAGTTGAAGCTAACTTCTCATTGCTCCTTAAAAGGGCCTAGCTAGGCAGGTCTTCTCAGTATGTCCATTTCATCTCTTGGTGTCAGGTTGCAGTGTTAGTATTAATCTTTTCATAAATTACAAACTTTGTCAAATGATACCATGAGCATGCTTTCCTAGTTGAGTTGCGTGTAAGTTCTTGTTTTGTTTTGGTGGTGTTCCTTGGGGTTTTGGGGGTTGTTTTTTTACATCATAGTATGTTCAATAATTTTTAGAGATTAGGCAAAAACTGTTAAATGACACTTAGGTATGATCATTAACGTGTTACAGGAAAACTTGCTGACATTTTATTTTAATGACTCCTCTAGTCTAGTTCTGCACCCCCTCTTGATACAGAGAATGAATGAAAGTCCTAGACTGAAACAATGAGTGTGATCGTATATAACTTATCAAATTTATAATAGTGCATTACGAAGTGCATGATTTCTACTAGAATCTCTACAGTGGAGAAGGTGCAGACCAATAGTTCCTGAAACAGATCCAAATACAGGATCTTTTCTCTGCAGTTTCGTAAACATTTTAGTACCCTGGCTGAGCTTGGAATCCTGTGTGTACCAAGAAATTTGCTGGCTTTATCAGTGGTAACTATTTTCCAGGCAACTATGCATTATTCTCCTGGAGTCATTGCCTAAAGTGGAAATAAAATGTCTATTCAGACCTTTAAACCCCAGCTACTAGTGTTTGAGTTGAATCTTGATATAAATTAAACTGCATTCTCTTCTTACGGGGTTTATTCATAAACAGTTTTTCACACACCCCTCAACTGTTGGTATCTGGAATGCACAGAAGAACTGTAGAGAGGAATATTCAGGTTTTGTCTTTCAGCGCCCATTTAAAGCATGGAAATTCACTGCTGAGACCTGACTCCAGGTCTTCTCAGGCAGCTTAGGTTGTAAAATACTCTCCCCTAGATGCAGATAACATACAGCAATACTGTGATAGAAATGCTGGACGTGGATTGGAAGGTAAAATTTGCATGGGAGGCCCTCTGTTTGTCTTCATAGCATTAGTAATAATTTTTTTACCCCAGACTGATACATCAGACCCTTAGGGGTGGTTATCACAGTCTGTTTGGCTGCAATTGATACATTGCTGCATCTGAATTTTTACTTTTGTGGCACTTAAATGTTTTTTCCTGGTAACCTTTATCTCCTACTTAATAGGACAGTAGATCTTGATTGCCATTTGTTAAATTTGGATGAATGAACAAAGAGGTCGTATGTGAGTAAACTGCATGAGCTACTTTTGTCTTTTGCAGGGAAGGCATAGCTGAAAACACAGCTTAAAACATTTGAAGATGTTTCTGTGAAGTTAAATAATGCAGGAAAGAATTATAGGAGTGTAAAGTGTCCTGCAGACAAGTTTCATTTCAGACTTTGTACGCACACCTCAGTATATTGACATGTAATGGCATCTGCTTTGATTGTATTTTGATTTTGGTGTTTGGTATTTCAGTTGTTGCTAAAGTGTAGTACTGTTTCCTCTTAAGGGAAAACTAAATGTGTGCGCATGCGCTTGCCAACTTGTGTATTCTCTCTTGTCCTCTAACTTTTTAGTTTCCTGGAAAATAAGACACTACTAGCCCTGGTTTTTGTTAGCTTTCAAGGTTGAATATTAGCCAGCAATGTGCCCTTCCAGCCAAGAGGGCTGATAGTATCCTGGTCTGCATTAGGATTCCTGCTAATGCTGAGTCATTTCCTTTGTTGCAGGTGGTATGGTCAAGAAAAGGACTACAATGTTCTAGTTATGGATCTTCTTGGTCCCAGCCTCGAAGACCTATTCAACTTCTGTTCGCGCAGGTTTACGATGAAAACAGTACTTATGTTAGCAGACCAGGTATGTATAAATCTTCCTGTAAGGAAGTGAGAGGTCAATGCAGATACCAGCTCCTTGATCTAACAAGTGCATCTTTAAAGTATTGGGACTAATATGAGTGCATTAACTCCCTGTATCAGCCATGGGGGGTGGTGTTAGAAGGTCTGAAGCAGCCTCCATTTATGGCTGATCTGTTTCAATGGAAATGTGTTAGGTATTGGCCAGCTGTGGTGACGGGTGGCCAATGTACAAGTCTGTAGGTCTGTTTTTACTCTGTCACTGTGCACTCACAACCTCTTACAACTTCTACTACCAGACTGAGCTAAATAATGGTTTTGTGCTTAAAGACAGTTCTTAGAGCTGTTAGTGGAAATGCCACTCTATATCGGACTTAATCAAGGCCTCTAAAACCGAGGTCTGCAAGTCTTTTTCTAACAATTGATGTTTTTTCAACTTGGTCATGAAAGTACAGTATTTGAAATGACCACCTGTATTTATCTCTTGCTATTTAATAAATAGCTTGATGGTGCTGTCTTCAGCTACTTGAAAAGCGGTAAGGATTTCTAAAGTAGAATTTTCAGTGGTAGTTTAAATTTCATCTAATATTACGTAATTGATGTTAGTACCAAGTTGTCACTTTGCCAGATGCTCATAGAATCCCAGGCTCTTGGCCAAGAAAGCTCATGGCATTTGTATGGAGACAAGGTCAGCTGTCCCTATTCTCAGCTGCCTTGAGTGAGTGGTACGCTTGCTTTAGAGAGCCATTTGCCTGCTCAGAGTCTGGGTGCATACAGCATCCCCAGGGAATCTGTATGGTTTTCATGCACTTTTCCTTTGGATGACAAACACTAATTAGTTGTCATCTGGGAAACGTAGATGGGATGCATGAGATCAGTACACGGAACTGGCTTTTAGGGCATAGTCCAGTAGAACAGCTGTCAAGGGTATAACGTTATAACAATTCAACTCACTAAAGACTGCATGAAGAGTGTTTTAGTAGCTGGAAAGCTGTGTCACATGTATGTGTGCACTGTGATCTCACACACAGGAAATTACGTGGCTGTATATGGTGATACAGATGTGCCAGAGTTTCTCTGCGTCTTCGTTGCTGACTCTTACTCCTGGCTCACTGAGGCCTAGATACGACAGTGTGGGCCACAGTCAAGTTGTTACTTGCTCAGTGAAAATTTTTTACTTGGGAAATTAACACTTGATGAATGAATAACCAGCTGAATGAATAACTGGGACATGGGGAGGGAATGAGCTTTAAAATTGTCTTGTGGTAGGTATAGAAAACATTTGTTTGAAGTAAGAAAAAGAAATGACTCTTTAATGGGGCACTGTAGTTAGTACATAAACTTGAATGTCTGGGAAATCATTTCAGCTATTTAATCTGCCGTTTCCTGACCAAGATTACAGAATTTCAACATACAAGAAAGAAATTTATTTTAACAGAGTAAAAAAAACCCCTTGGTTTTCATTAAGCAAATACAGAAATTTAAGTTGCAGAGGAAGTTAACACTAAAAATTCATGCTTTCATTGAATATTTAAGTGAATTGTATTGATCTCATTGAAATCTTACCTGTCTTGTTATTGCTGGTTTTTCTTACAGATGATCAGTAGAATTGAATATGTGCACACAAAGAATTTTATACACAGAGACATTAAACCAGATAACTTCCTAATGGGTATTGGGCGTCACTGTAATAAGGTTAGTCTAATGCTCTTTGCTTAAAAGATCCAAAGGGAATGGCTATGTTACTTGATTCAAGCTGCGCAGCCTTTTTAAAGCTCATTGCTAAAACTGATGTTTTGGATGCTAAACCATGATTCTTCAATGTGAGGACTTGGATTGTTCAGGTGTCCACTTCTAAGCCCCTGACCCACCCTATGAGATACACTTGGTTGCAAGGTGATTTCTAGACTTGCAACAAGATTATAAACTAAACCTAGAGAATACTTGGCTGCTTTTCTCAGTGATGGAGTTTCATTATTGAGATAACTGTTGTATTAGCATTTTTTTCCTCAATGATAAAGTCAAATCTTATTTTTGGCTTTGGGGCTGAGTTCCTGGGATGAAAAGAATTTGTGTCAACGTGGGAGCTCCTGACCTACCAGTCAAGGCATTAAAGCTTGCAGTGACAGACTGGTGAAGAGAACTCTTCAGCCATCAGAATTGTGGATACAACCAATAGCCAACATGTAGATCAGTTGCCTTTATAATAAATGTGTATGCAAATATGTTGGTAGAAGATGGTTAAGTTGTAGAGTACCTGATTATGTTGTACAACAAAAAAACTGAATTTATTTTATGGGGAAGAAAAAAGCAGTGTTGGAGGGTGGGCTGAGGTGGCTGTACTTGTTTGGATGGGTAAACGTAGTCAGAAGTGCATGTTTCCCATTGAAAACCTTATATAGTAGAAAACTGTTTTTATTTTGTTTTTAGTTCTCGAGTGAAATATGCTTAATCCTGCAATTTGTATGTTAAGCTCGGGCAGACAGGCAGCATTGGCAATGCATTAAGCATGCTACTTAATAGAAATTAACTTCAGGACAAATGTATGTGATCAAGCTGTTTATTGGAAGCAAGATTCCCACTTATCTTCTCTATATGCCATCAGAGAATGTCTCATCTCTAGGCACTACTAGTGTTTAAAATGTTTACCTTTGTTTGCCTGTATGAATGCCAACTTCAGGGCCATGAACATTAGAAGGGGAAAGCTTGATTAAATGAGAACAGCCCTTGTCTGAAGAGGTGCAGTGCACTGAATGTTTAGATACAACCATTGTTGGAAAAGCCTGTAAGTCCAGCTGAAAGGCAGTCTCTATGTAATCCTGTTGCTGTTAAACTTTGCTTGTTCCCAAGTTTCATACTTTCACTCTGTAGAGCTCTATTTTTCTATGCTGTGTTGAGCAGTTAGGCTCCTTAAATTTCTGGCATGACTTAGAGTATAACTTAAACTGTAATATTTTTTTCCTAGTTTTAGTTTCTGATTTCCAATTGTTCTTTTTGGGCCATTTTTCTATACTTTTGCACAGTCATGCTAGGTTGGCATTGCTGCACTCTGTTTCATCTTGATGTGGATTAATGGCCTAGAAAACGCTGCTGTGTTTACTTTACTGGAGGAACACATTAGATTTGCATCAGCTGAAATGAAAACCAAAATTGCCTGTAAACCACTGTATTCCCCCCCTCCTGCCCATTAGTAGACTGGTTAGGGAGCCATGCAATGATATGGTGGTAAACACTGTCTGTGGGCATGGGCTTCGTTCCTGTGACAGGGTTTTAGAGATGAGGGGAGGTAGTTCCTGATGGAAGCACCAATTGATGGATTTACATGAGCAAAATGAGGAATGGGTTGCTTCAGTTGGAAACAAGTGCTTCATCTAGGGAACACTTGCCACCATACAGTATTTACTTTGTTTCTTTTTGTAACTACCTAGTTTGAGGGGTTCTTAGAGATGACTACGCAGAGTTTAAAGAAAACGGCCACAAAGACTAGAATAGTATGGTAATCTTGTTCCAGTAGCTTCCTGGCAGTTATATTTAAAAACAAATGAAGAAAATAAATTTTTTTCAAATTTTAATTTGGTGATTGGGAGAACTTTTGCTCCCACTTTAAAAGATAAATTTTCAGCTCTGTTAGTAATAAGCCCTGCATGCTTATGAAAGTAAACTTTAAGGTGACTAAATGCCTTCTACCTCTTCCTTACTGAAGATTTATTTTTTCTAAATGTCTTTTGGGGGAAGGGCAGTTTGTGGAACCAAAGGATGCTTTTGTAAGCAAAACTTCAATTTCCTTTTTTAATAGAGCCAAATGTCACCATTGCTATCCCTGGTCAAGGCAGTGCCATTTTGGAGTGGCTCGCAGTTGAAATTTACCTTGCCACATCTTTCAAATTTTCTCCTTTAAAAAAAAAAAACATAAAAATTAAATGCAAACATACATAGTTTTTGGAAAACTACAGTGCTTGATGGAGGAAGGATGGCATTTGGCTACCCTGTTCTTTCTCGAACGCCTCGGTGTTGCCTGTCTGCGCCGGCCATTGTTGCAATGTAAGCAATACTGTTTGATGCACTGCCACCCTCTATTGTTTGTTCAGTGTTTAGAATCTCCAGTGGGGAAGAGGAAAAGAAGCATGACTGTTAGTACTTCTCAGGACCCATCTTTCTCAGGATTAAACCAGGTCTGAACTGTCTCCTATTCCAACCTCAACCCCAAATTCATGTGCTTTATTTTTGTTTTGTTTTTGTTTTTTGTTTCTTTTTTTCTGGAGAATGTAGACCTTGCAAAAGCACCTCTTATGTTGGCATTATTCAGACATACTTGGCAAACATGTAACATTACTAAGATGTTTCCCTGTGGCGCTTGTTTAAATTGTGGAATTATTTCTAAACTTGATATTAAAAAGGGCTAAATGTACGTGCTTGATTTCAGGTGCAGGAGCGGGTTTTACTCTTGTTCTTTAAAACTCAAAAGCAATCTGTTGAATGTGTTGAAGGATAGACGTGCCACCCTAGTAGAAATACCAGGGCTTCTGCATAAGGCTGTCTGCTTTCCTTCCTGTAGGGTTCCTGCAGTGTCTTTGAATGTACGTGGAGAAGTTCTGTTATTGCTTCAGCCAGACTCCTTCCTTTGCGTGTTTTGTTCAAAAATCTTTCCAAATGTGTAATGAGGACTCTTGTATTTTCATCCATTGTGCTTATAAAAGGAAATGACTGTAACAAGCTGTGTCTTGGAGAAGCATGAGCTTATCTTGTAGTGTTAAATGTAGGACTTCTGACTCTTTAAGAGAAAAAGAATTGGAGAGAAATGAAGACATAAGCCAGCTCATAGCAGGACAGCTGGGAATTGCCGAATATGAATCGTAGTTGAGGTGTTTAGCCATAGAATCAGTCAGTCCACAGCTTTCCACAGTGGTAGTCTTCATGTATTAAGTCCCAGGCAGCTAGATGCTGTACGCAAGCTGACAGGCTTCTGTTCTCGCTTGCTGAAACTTTCTTATCAGTTGAGGCAGAGACTTTGATCCACTTCTCGAGTTGCTCTTGGCAAAAATCTTGCCCTACTTCTCCAGTTTCCTGCTGGCGGTGCAACAAACAGAATTAAGGTGGTATGAGGTTATCTGTGGGAATACGTCTGTGTTCCTGCTGGCTGGCATCAGTACGTTCTGTGCTCATCCAAATAAGGCTGTATCTTCCAAGTTAACTCTTTGCAAGATGGACTTACGGCTTTGCCTTCCACCTGTCTAGAACGGGTACTAAGCTAGGGATCAGAGTAAATTTCTCTGGATAAATCAGTGCCATAAAATAATATCCAGTTATTTGACTAGTGTAAAACAGGTCTATGTTGCTGAATTGATTCTTTCTTTTTTAACAGGTTTTACCTACACTTCTTGAGAGAATGCAGAATACCTTGTTCAGTTCCAGTATTGAGAGTTTGTAGCAGCTATGGAAGAGGCAGAGCATCATTTACTTTTATAACTCTCCTGAAGAAAATAGTCTTATCAAGTCAGTGATAAACAGGGCTAGACACCAGCCATTTACCTATTAGAGGCACACTGCCAGTGTGAACTATTTTGATTCAGGAACTGTGACTTTGTCCCTTCATACCATTAACGAACAGCAAGATCCCCAGGATAACAGATAGTCCGTGAAGACTTTGAATTGTTTGAAGTGTTAGTAACTAAATGTGCAGTGAAAATATTCTGACTGATGTGTATAGTGTTTGGCTTTTCCCTCCTTCTCAAGGCATAGTAAGCTGCTATTGCAAACTATACATCAGCGGCTGTCATCAGGTCAGAAAACTTTAGTGAAGAAATAAGGGATTGCATTTGAGCTCTGACTTTGCTTCTAGGAAAGTTGCATTTGTAGTATAGTAATCACAGCTTTGTACTGTCTGCTTTAGGGGTTTAGTATCAAAATTGGTAATTTCCTGGTAGGTGGAGAACACATCTGTGCTCACCAAGTGAATAACTACCTCTAGTGGTAGCTGTGGTGGGTGCATCAAAGACAAGACCCCCACTTTCCCAAACTGTCTGAGCAGTGTAGTTGATGTAGAAACTTGAGTTTACTTCCTCTTGCTCAAAGCATTCTGGGCTTTCAGGGTGACTTTCAGTAGAACAGCAAATGTAGAACTGCTGTGCTCTGTGGTTGCATTTAAATCCTGGCAAGACTTCAACTCAAGGTTTTCTACTCCAACATCAGTGGCTTAAGAAAGAGGTTTTAGCATTGTTCTTTCCTGTCTAGACTCTTATAGTTAGAAAATCTTCTGCAATCAGAATTCTAAAACATACCTACAGTGCAATTCAGAAACTTTCAGTATCTTTGATACTTCCCTGTCGAGCGTCACTTTATAATTCACAGCACTTCCAGTGTGCCAGAGTGACTCTTGGTTTCAGTCTTGGTTGCAGGATACCTGCATGTCGGTCTCTAGTACTTGCATTTAAAGCTGCATCATCTGTTCTGGAATCACCTTTAAGGTGATACTTAATAGATTTATTTTTTTTACTGAGAATTTATCGAACCTTATGTCTTCTTTCCTTCATCTCCTTCTCCTACCCAAGTTACTTTTGCACTATTCATTAATCTGTAGGGGTTGTAGTCCATGATCCTGTAGCATTAACCCAGCATTGCAATCTGGAGTTCAACTTGATGATTTGTAGCTAGAAGACATTGCTAGAATTCTAAATGTTCCTTAATTCTACCTCAGCTTCTTTTTTGCCTGGTCCTCAAATCTTGTCATGAGAAGGTACAGTCTGCATTAACCTTTGTAGATAGACTGGCCGGTAGCTCTCTAATTAGCACACACTCTGTTGTTGCTAAATACCAAATCATTGAGCAAGCTTGGTTATTAGAAACCTAAATTGGATTCAGTGTACTAGGCTCTAGCTTCCTGGCTGTATTAATATCATCAGCAAGTGTGTCATGCTGCTGTGGTAGTGTTCTGGTCTTAAAATGAGGATATGATTGAAAGCAAGATGTCTTGTTTGCTGTTGAAGGTTTCAGCCTTATGCTCTGCAGAATGGCCAGTGCTCTTTGAGACACAAGAATAAAGGATGTGCCTCAATTGCATTAAGCTGCTGAGCTGCCATTAACTCTCTGTATGTGTAAACTGCTCTGGTGTGAGTGGGGTTTTGTGAAGTGTGCTTTCGCACATACTAGTTTCCTGCCTAAACTGTGCACTATAGTTATGAAGCTAATGTGATACAAAGTACAATAGTAACATGAAATAGTTGTAGAACTAAGCTACAGATGCTGTGTAGCACAATCTAATCTATTCCACTGGATTGAGAAAAGGCTTGAACTAATTCACTATTAAGTTTTTGAACTGACTAGTTAAAGTTAGTTGCGACTGCACTGTTAATTTGCTTCCTCTTAACTGTAGGCTGTTACACTGTGTGGATGTCTTAAAATGTAGCTAATGCCTAGTGAAAGAGGTTGGGGATTCCTTGTATTGTATAGGAATGTAATCTATTTTCATTTTTCTTTAAGTTATTCCTTATTGACTTTGGTTTGGCCAAAAAGTACCGGGACAACAGGACAAGGCAACACATACCATACAGAGAAGACAAAAATCTCACTGGCACAGCTCGATATGCCAGTATCAATGCACATCTTGGCATTGAGCAGAGGTGAGTTCAAGGAGATAACTGCTGTGCTTTTGGAGGCTGCAAGATGATCTTATTTGTAAGCTTCTGAAGCATCTGAACTAGTTTTATATGAATAAGTGTATGTTGATGCTATTGCTGACTGGCTTGAGATGCAATTCTGTAGCCAGAAAGGCTATTCTAAAGCTGGTGTCTGTGTTCTGTTTTCTCACCGTTCCTTCAGGTTAGGAAACAATATATTGTTTATCCTTTTGCCTGCAAGCAAGACTTAAAGATCTGCTACTTCACTCACGTGGTGTTTTGGTTTCTGCCATAACTGTGGCCCTGTATGTATATATGTACACGTGTGTTTATTTACATGTTTGACTTTTGCTTAATGGACAAACATTTTTATCGTCTGGATCAAAAGCACATTGCTACTGCGGTATCCTAGCAGCAGTTCAGTGGAGATGGTGTGTCAGGCTGTTTGAAAGTGATGTTAGATACTCATGAGATAGGACGTGATGCCTCTCTTCCTTACCTAGATACTGTAATGTATAAGTGTAATAGTGTGGCTGTACCACATGATGGTGAGGTCACTTAGTTAAAACTTCCCTGAATATCTGACCTTCAATTGAATCAAGATGGGAATGACAGACTCTCTAGTGGTCAACTTCATCAGAACATGTAACTCACAAATATTTGATGCTTTAAAATACACCATGTTTCCTCTTTGCTTTGTTTTCCTTAAGGTTTCTGTACTGTATTTTATTGTCTGTCAGTGTCATTATTTAAGCCTACTTGCCATATGGGTCAAATAGGGTAAATGGCAGATGTCATTTCTGAAGGAAGTACATTTCATATAACCCAAGCCGTTCTTGTGAGGGAATAGCTGTGCTAGCACCTTACAGTGAAGGGAGAGGACTGCAAATAATTGTAACTTTTAAATTGAGCTCTCCTGGTACAAGGAATTCCCATATAATTTGAAATGTAGCTAAAAGCTACTGGACTATAGATAAAGCCAACAGCAAGGCAAACAGATAATACATTCCTGTCATCAAGAGAAACCAGTCCTGAAAGTTATGGCAGAATATTTCAACTGTTAATGCTGTACTTCTGACTGTTGCAGTTCATGTTTTCCTCTATGTAATGTAATGATAGTTATTCTCAAGGAGCTGTTTGCAATGTTGTCCATTTCTTGTTTCAGTAATGGAGAGTATTGTCATGTTTTCCAAATCCTGAAAATGGCTTTTATCAGTATATGCTCAAATGTAATACAGCCACTACAGATTTACAGAACTAAATGGTTTCCTACTACAGAATCATGAAATTAAACTTAAAACAATGAACTGATGGAGATGGAATCCATTAATCCCTTTATTGCTTCTGGATTTACCTCTGCCTTCTCAGAAAATGTAATTTTACATCACAGCCCCATACCAGTTCACTGAATCCTGTTGGTGATTAAAATCTGCAATTCTAATAGAATGAGCAAGTTTTGCAGGCTGGAATTTGTGGTCTTGATATCATTTTTCACCCCTCTGGTTTTGGCTGTGGCATCATGTTACAGCTGAGAGAACCTTGGAGCTGGCTGCTGTCAAGAGGAGTGAACCTATCTTCCCTTCCCTGACCCCTGGGCACAGCTAGTGCTTTTTTGTCCTTGTGGTGAAATGGTTTAAGGAGCCAAGCTGATGTTCTTCTGGGGTAGCACCCTGAACTGGTTCCCCAAACGGTCAGAGAGCTGGAACACGCGTTGAAGCAGTGTCAGGCAGGCAGTGCTGGTGATTATTAGAGGTTATATTGGGTTAGCAGTTACATAGAGCATCACTTACAACTTCCTTCCTCTGATACCAATATCTGGAGGTAGATCTGTCCAGGGTCTTACAGATTGTCCTCACTTGATCTCTCTCATCCTCACCCATACGTGTAATCCTGCTTGCAATGCCACTCTCAGCCTTTTACTCCCTTGTGGGGGTGGTAGGTGTGTAATTTTTCCTGCCACCATTTAAATACCTCTCTTGCAGATCTGCCTGGGTGGCAAAGCAGCAGCAATACCTGTCGGGTTCAGTTGATAAGGGAGCTGGGAGGAGAAAAATAAGTTATTTTTCTGTCTCATTAAATAGATGTCAGCTGCAGAGGGGCAGTCAGAGGAAAAAGCTGATTCTACTACAGCTGGCAAGAGGCAACTTTGCCAAGAGGGGGAAAATAATCTTGGAGCATTTTTTCCACTTCAGTGAACTGTAGTAACCTTAGCAATTGTGAAAGCTGTGCAGCAAAAGATGGTGTTTGTGTGGCTAAAGTGTGGATCTGAAGCATATGCAGTGCAAAAAACATTTGAAGCCTTGTGGATGAGTTTGCATGCAAATAGATAACTTTAGAGTTCTCTAGCTGCCTTGAAACAGACTTCTTGTGGCAAGAAAGAGGCACGTCTCAGATTGATGCCTGCACCTTTCTAAATATTGCTTGTCTTTTACAAATCATGAAGGCAATTCAGGGTTAAAAAAAGCGAGGAAAGGAAGGTTATGGCCTTTTGGGTCTGTGTGTTCAGTGTTGGTCCCAGACTGAGGCAAGGAAACTTAACTTCCTTAATGAAGTTAAAGCTATCATCATGTATCTCTTACAATGCATTCCATCATTCCTGCAGGTAAAACTTCAGTTTCTATCCAAGCTGCGTAGTTAAATGAGAAGGACGTTTAATGTTCCATTTTTTTATCTTCCAAAGCTTTTTTTCCCCAAGTTATTCTGATGTAACTGCAGATGGAAAGTTACCACACACAATACCTACTGACTATTCCTTGCTTGATAAATGAATAGGATCTCCTTCCTGCTTGTGAAGACCTGTTACATGTGTGCCAGTGGAATCCTGACCACCTAGATGTCTTACCTGTATTAGGAAGAGATCTTCCTTTGCACCAAAGCTTAGGTGTTATTCCTTATTTATTCTTTTCTTTAAAAAGTTTTTTGAATGCTTGCGCTATTTGGAGTAAAGTATGAAATGTCAAAATTTCTAATTCATTGTGTTACTTTTTTTTCTCCAGTCGTCGGGATGACATGGAGTCTCTAGGCTATGTGTTGATGTACTTTAACAGAACCAGTCTGCCTTGGCAAGGATTAAAGGTAGGTTATGTTGCACCTCTTCCCCCCCCCCCCCCGCTTCCTTTTTTTTGTCTGGGTATTGTGTTTCTGCCTCCTGGTCTGGGTGGGTGATTGTATATGGTGTTAAGCTTCGGCTATACAGAGCAGCTTTTCCCAAGCCATGATATTTATAGAATGTAGAAATGTTCTTTCTGCTTCTCATGCAGCAGGCAAAGTATGTATTGTTTGGCTGCCTGAAATTTTATGCTAAACAATAGCTTATGTCATCTTTGCAAATTATTGTCGTGTTGTAGGCTGAGGGCCTCTTTGGGAAGTAGAAAATAGCATTGTTACTGGCTTTTTGAATTGCTGTAGAGAGCATGGAAATAATATCTTGCCTAGCAAGTTCAGCTTTAGTGATATCTTCAGTCTGGTTTATGGTATGACTGAATAATTACGAGGTGCAAAGACTTGTTTCAAGTATTATGTATGGTAGCCGAGTAAAAGTACAGCAAATATTTCTTATTTCTGTTATAGACTTCAGTGATTTGTTTTCATGATTTAATTGTTGCTCTTCCTCCATGTGAGAGTTCTGTAACTCAAATGGTGTTGCAGCTGCGAGCTTTCTAAAAAGGCAAGCAGCCTGTGAAACACTAGAACACTTCAGCTGCAAATGAATGTAATGGCTGCTTGCTGAAACACGCAGGCAGCCCCTGAATGGGGTACTGAGTGGGAATTAATAGAACTTTGGCAAATGGAAATGCAAGTCTGGTCTGTTTAATGGACAAAAGCAGCAGCTAGAACTACACGAGCTGTGCCATGTGATGGAAGCATTAGACTGCAACAAATGGTATTAAACTGTGTCCAAATCTTAATACCAGATTGACCTTCATTCTCTTTTCAATGTGTGGGACTTGGAGATTTCACATAAAATACTTACGGTTGACCAGGGGATTTTTGTCATTTTTTTTTTTTGCTACTGTCCTTGTTAATCCAGTGTTGCACAATATCTCTTATATTGTGACCTACATGTTCCACAGGCTGCAACAAAGAAGCAGAAGTATGAAAAGATTAGTGAAAAGAAAATGTCCACTCCTGTTGAGGTTTTGTGTAAGGTAAGAGTTTCCAAATGATGTCATACTGTGAAATGGAAGTTCTCTTCTTTCTTATTTTGTTCTTTTTTCTTTATAAAAACTAGAGCCAATATGTTGGTCTCACATGGCATTTGCTGCTGAATAATAGTTCTCTGGTAGTCATGAATGCCTTGTGTTCGGCCACCCAACAAGACTGCTGATGTGTGTAATGGGGCAGGCATTTCCTGCTGTTTCTTGGCGTAGCTCATGCCACTGTCACTCCAGTTCTTGGTGACTGTGGGCTGTGCAAGCTCTCCAGCTCTCTTAGGTGAGGCTTGTTTGTTTCTTCAACTTCTGCAGTGAAAGTTCTGCAAGTGCCCTCTTGGAGAAATGAAACCAAGGTAGAGCTTTATATCTTGCCCATATACACTTGTTTGTGCTTCAAGATTGTTCAGGTTGTCTTCTGTATCTCCAGTAGAAGCTGTAGTGGAATGATGTTTTTCCAATGCTGCCCTCTGAGTTTCAAGATATCTCCTGAACTGTGGCAGCCTCATGCTTGTTAACAAAGATCCTTCAGAACATGTAGTAGTTTCTGCACATCAAACACCAGCAGCAGGATTATGCTTTCTAGTCATGTCCATTTTTATACCCTTAGTCTGACGGCATCTTCCAAAATGCTGAACTGTTGTACCCCATGTTTTCTTTCTTCTTGTACAGAACTATGCTGCATGCTATGACCTGTTTACACATGGGCTTTAATATAGCATTAAATATATAAATATGTAAAGCAGGGAATCTTTGAAAGAAGTCTTCATAGTTTAAGCCTTCACACTTAACAGTAGTAACTGACCTTGCCTCTGGTATGCTCAAGTAGATTATCAAGGAAACATGAGTGGATTCTTTTGAGAGACAGTTACTACTTATTTCAGAGACCTAGTTAATACGAACTAGATTTAATTAGGATGAATGAAGTACTTTAAATATGTTGTATGTTGAAGGTTTTGGTAGCAGAGGACTTGTGATTGCAGAATGTGCATCAAGTATCAATTCTGGAGAAAGAATATACCTGGTAACTTGCTTATCAAATCCACTTTCCGAAATACAGAATAAATAATAACTAGTGGTAAAGTGGAATTTACACATAGGAATCTTCAGCCAGTTTTTCTCTGCCATTGTAGACAGAAATACAGCTTTTCCTTTCTTATAGAGTTGTTGGAAGCTTTTTGCTGCAAGCCATAGCTTGATTAACGCTGTTGATTTACAGGGATTCCCTGCAGAATTTGCCATGTATCTGAACTACTGTCGTGGCCTGCGCTTTGAAGAGGCACCAGATTACATGTATCTGAGGCAATTATTCCGTATTCTTTTCAGGTCAGTCTCAAAGTGGAAAAGTACAGAAATTTGTCAGTGCTTTATCAGTTGGTAACTGCTCTGTGGGACTCACATTGCTGAAAGCTGCTCTGTATGTGTGTGGTGTAGGCAGTTCTTCAGGGATTTTCGTTTCAGACTTTGAAGAGCTGTTTAAAGGACCTGAAAAATATTGTTCAACATAAAACATGAAAGAAAAAGATTCTCTTGTTTTTGAGTTGCACAATCTGGCCACTAATGGTGGAGTGTTGAGCCCATGCTTCAAGTTCTGTTGCAAGTAGCTTAAGAAATTGACCCCTTGGTAGAAGTGTTTGAAGCTTTTTATGTTTGAATGTTGGTGATGGGACTAGCAGTGGTGCCCAGGAGATGGATTTCAATGGAGGGTAATAGTGCTGTTTGACCGAGTTTTTTAGAGAAACCAGGACTCGAACTCAAACCCTGTGGAGTGAAGAGCATCTGTCAAAAGAAGAGCTGGTACTGATCTCTCAAGAGTCCTCCTCCAGGTTTCTAGAATACAAAGCAATTTTTATTCTATGATCTACAATAGTGCAATATGTCCTTAAAACTATATATATTAAAAGAAAAGCTGAGAATCTCAGTGCAGACATGTGGATAAGCTGGGTTGTGAGGAAGTGCTGCTTCTACAAATTCAGACTTTCGTGTAAACAGTGAAGAAAATGCTGCTTGATGGTGTTTGGGCTTGCTTCAAGAATCCCTTTGTTAGCGATACTTAGCATTTATATATCATTCATAATCTCCAAAGCAGCTTACAGAAAGAGTTAACTTCTCGTTCTGGGTTTTCAGCAAAGGCTTGGTGTTAGCAGTAAGGAAGTTGTGATGTGTTACAGTGAAGTATCTCACTTTCTTTTTTCTGTTTCCTAGGACCTTGAATCATCAATATGACTACACATTTGACTGGACAATGTTAAAGCAGAAAGCAGCACAGCAGGCAGCCTCTTCCAGTGGGCAGGGGCAGCAGGCCCAAACCCCCACAGGCAAGCAAACTGACAAATCCAAGAGTAACATGAAAGGTTAGTAGCCAAGAACCAAGTGACGTTACAGGAAAAAAAATTACACTAATTTGGACAATGTCGGCAATTTAAGTGTTAGATCAAGGAGGTGGTTTAAAAAATATATTTGGCTGTTAATTTAAAAAGTAAAAACAAAAGAGACGTCCTTGGAGAATTTGACTACTAACTTTATACCAAAATGTCCTTGTTCTTCATATCATTTCTTCTGGGGATGTTGGGTCATTTTAACCACTGCATCTTTTGCTCCCGCATTAACCACTTTCCAAAAACAAGAAACTGACTTGGTGTTGGGAATGTGACATTTTTATTTATTTTCATGTATATATATACATATATGATATACATATATTTATATATATAATACAGTCCAAAATCCTAGACCTAACACTTCTTAAGGGATAATTCTCATTAACTAGGCAAGGATCTAGAGACTTTGGGTTCTACGCTGTTCTAGGTGGTATAGTGCTGTGGGTTTACTTCTGTTCTGTATGCCTCAAACATTGGAAACAGAAAACTGTGAATGATCTGGCTTCCTCCAGTGGGTTTACGTTGAGACATGTGGTCCAGAGTTAAAGGAAAAAAGGAGCAGTGAGCTCTAAATGTCCTTCCTAAATCACGGAGTAACCCAAAACTGCTGTGGACTGCCAAGTCACAATTTTCTGAGGGTATCTGGATGCTCTCGGGTGGGGCTTCAGATTTCTTGACTATTTGTAATGTTTCTAGGTTATGGTTTCAAAGGGAAATGTTGTTAAATGTCCAAGATGTAATTGTGTAAAAACTGAAAACTGAGTTCTGAAAAGGCACATAAAACTTTTTTGCACATTTTAAAAGCCTTTTACAATTTTTGATGTAAATCTGCCAGTGTTAGTCTAGTAAGTCACTAGGCTGAAACTGCCACAGCCGGTGACTATTACAGCCAGTCTTGTAATGGAACTGACTCCTCAAGGTGAGCTGTGCAGAAAGTTGCAGCTAATGAGGTTGTTTGAATGAGACTAGAAAAGCTAGGTTTAAGTTATTGCTGCTGAGGTAGCTTATTGATGTGTTGCTGCTGCTTGGTACTCTTCAGGACATTCTTGCCTGGACTGTCATTTTATACATACAAAATTATATAATAATTTAACATGGCAGACTTCGAAGTCAAAGAAAGGGAGAAGTGTTTAAAGTAAACTTAACCAAAACACTGTTTTGCATGTGTTGTGGCAGCATTCAAACATTACCAGGTGGCTTTATTCCAAAAATATAACACTTCTTCATACTCGATCTGAAACAGTTTATTGAAGAAAAAAAAAAACTTCTATAGGATACCATTAATTGTCAGATTCTTTGTGGCATAAAGAGTCCAACTTGTCTGGCTGGAGCTGGCAGGTGTTACAACACTGAAGGCTGTAAACCAGTTCCTTCAGCAGTAACACCAGTACGTAAGCAGACTCAATGATTCAGCACCTGGGCTCAGATTGCTTCCTGAAGTACAGAAGCATTGACCCAGCTCAGAACCCACTACTAAACCCAGCCTGATGCTTGGGTGTGGAGAGGTTGGCTATTAAAGCAGGAGGAAGTAATTTGCCCAAAAATGCAGATTCTTCACAATGGCTCATGTGTAAAATTAAGGTCTGGCAAAGGGTGATGATCTGTAAACAGATGCTGCCCTGAAAATCAAGTTGTACGGACTTGAAATACTGTTCTGCTGATGAAGTATTCTGAGGTTTAATGTGCCGCTCTCCTGCCTCAGGTTTGGTCTCTGACCAAGTGCTAATGCTGTAAGGGAAGAAAACATCATTATCATCGTTATCTGCCTCCACTTTCTAGTGATGATTTAGTGACAGAGTGCAAAGGTGCAGCTGACTGACAAGCCTGAGACAGGGAGGCTGTCTTGCAGTTGACCCTTGCAGATTGTTTCCGCTTGGATGGACCTTCCCCATCACACTCTCCTTTAGTAACGAGGCCCATTGCGTAGCTACGGAGAAGTTGTTGTTTTTCTTTCATAGACTGTTACTCTGTGCAAGAGCCAGGGAGAATGACTCCCTCCTTGCCCCACCCCAGCATGAAGAAAAAGCTCATGACCTTTGGATTGACCAAGCTGTAGTGTCAGCAAAGCATTTGTGTAGAGCTTGTCAACCATCTGAAGACTTGCCCAGCTGCCTAAAATAGTTAGCTTAGTCTCTTCATCAAAGTAAAGATTCCAGATTTCTAAAAACCTGCATGCCTTCGTGTGGGAAATATTGTCTGTTAAGGAAGATTTTCTGAAGCCAGCTAAGCTCAAGCAGGAGGCTGTGTGGGTTATATGTTGCTGTCACATTGAAAATTAACAAAATACCTGGTTTACTTTTTTCCCAGAGTTCTGTTAAATTCTCATGTAGTTGCTGTAGCAAAGCCTATGCTGAAGTGACTTAAAAGGTTTTGTGGTATCAAATTTTACCCGTGGTAACTATATCCAGTTTAATGAGTAGTAGAAATAGCAATTTACAGGTGCATTTATTGGTTAAAATATTACAGTATACTGTGTAAAGTGCAAATACTATTGAAGATGCCCATCAAGGGATTGGAGCAGGGGGTATATAAATCTTAATTCTTTCAAATAATGTCCAAAGACTTAATGACTTAAAATATTTGGAAAATGTGCTCATTTATAGATATTCCTGGCTGCCTTAACTCCATCTCCATTAAAGCATCTCACTGAGTCCTATAGGTTACTCAGACTGAATATTCTGTTTGGTTCCAGGGTAGCCTGATCCCTGTTCTGTCAATGGCCTTTTTTTGCTGTCCCTCTCTGGAACTCTGTGCAGTGCCTTTTGTAACAGCAAGATCAGCTGTTTTGGAACTTGGGAGAGGTGAACTGTTTCAACAGAAAGAGCTGCTCTGCTGACTCTGGGAGGTTCAGCTCTCAATCTCTTGACAGTACAGCAGTTTTTCAGGTGTGATTTGTAACAATGCTTACAGTCAGCTTCCCTCAGTCATAAAACTGACTCAAGCAGTCAGTCTCCAGGATCAAGTCTGTCAGCTCCATTTGCAAGAGGTGTTTTTAATTCACTTCAGCGTAGAGCTCCATAAGCCTGTCAGCAGTCCCATTAGCATTCACGAGACGCCTGTGGTCATGGCAATATTTCTCAGGACAGACTATTAGTACGCTAGTTGCGATTTAGCCAGTTGACAACTAAATACTTTTCACCACTTGTATCTGCAGCTACTTAATATATTGAGGAAAAAGTTTAAAGGCCTCTTAAGTAGAGGAGCTTCTTAGAGTATGATAGTACAGTTACTCTTCCCTCGTTGATGGGATCTGCAGCTATAGTAACAATAAAGCAATCTGAGTATCCCTCATGTAGCGTAGAGATTATCAGAGTTTTGGGTAACACCCTGGAGGGACAGGGAGTGATGAATGCGCAGATTTGAGCTGGCCCTGTATATAGTGAAGATTTAGTAGAGAGATGCCAGCTTAAATTCCTCCAGCGTGTTCTTCACACTGGCAAAGTCTTGGATGCCACATGGATGTCTCAGCACCTCGTTTGACAGCTGTGGTTGGGCTGTGTTTGAAAACACCTCTATGTAGTTGTAATAGGACTTGCAAGGGATGTTGTGGACTCGATGGAGTTCTCTGTTGCTTTCTGTAGAGTTGGACATTCTCTTGCCAATAATACCTTGGGTCTGAGGTGTTATAGCAGTGTATCGCTTGTTAGCGTGGCCCTTGTCCTCAGGTTCAGGATCCCATTTTCATTTGAAACATCCAGGCTTTAAAGCAACGAGTTAATCTGTGTCTCACCACACTGGAAGCACACTCCTCCTTTGTTGACTTAGTTTTGGCTGCTTTGATGGAGAAAGTGGCTCAAATAATGAATCAGTGTTCGCTGCTGAACTTGCTGAATGGAAAAACAGCGTAACTCTTGGTTGCATGCATGGAGTGAGGGTTACGGACCACTTTATGCCAGTTGAACTAAGGAATCACTGGGATTTCTGTCAGAATTTGCACTCAAGTGGGAATGACTGTCTTAATTCTGATGTGGGATTCTTTTTATTTGCTTTCATTTATTTTTAAGAATTGCTGATGCTGGTTAAAGAGAATTGTCCTTCAGTGCATTAAGATCAGGTTCAAACAAAGCTATTGAATCGCTTCTGAATTACCTGTAGCCTATTCTGGAAGAGTTAAATGGAAGAGTTAAAGCTGTCTTCTGGGTACTATCCAGATAGATTTTTTTTTTTTTTGATTGAATGTCAGGCTGCGTTTGACTTGTTTGCACTTGCTTCTCTGGATGACAGCACAAGCTATAGCTGAAGTCAGCTTTGTCTGTATTTCACTCTGAAGAGATTTCTGTTGCAAAAACTCTGAGCTGTTGCTCAGATGAATTCATACATCGACACAATACCATGCTGTTTGGAGGGCATCCAGAACGGAAACTTGCTTGGCAAAGTAGTCTTTGGTTGAGACTCCTGTTACCTCTCCGAAGCACAGCGCTACTACCTGAGTCACCAGAAATGAGTACATAAGCAGTCGTGTGAAGACTGGCTTAGCTTGCAGTAACTGGTTCTTTCTGATGTGTTATCTATTCCTTTACTCTCCCTTTCCCACAATGTCTTGAACTTGTCATTTGGAGTTCTGAACTTGAACTGTTCTTGATGCCCCACCTCCCCTGTCACACGAGTTGTCACTTGTCCTTCTGAGGACAGAAGGTATCCTGCGTTCCTAGTCACTGTCAAAGGTTCTCGCTTCTGTTCTGGGTGACCAGAGCACCATACGTGTGAGCACATAGTGAACACCAGTTACTGTAAGGTAAGTTATTCCTGTTCCTTTTCCTCAGTCTGTGTGACACTGCTGTACTGCATCTCTGAAGCACCACTGCAATCAGATGACAGTTTGACATTCAGGGATATAAACATGAGACATTGCAAACAAGTAGAAAACAATCCTATGAAATTACATCCTGCTTCCCAGTGGCAAGAACACATTTTGTTTTCAAACTGTTGGTCTGAATTCCCATTTGAAGAATGTGGCATCCAGCTGGTGCATAAGCCTGCTTTCCAGTGCAGCAGTGTGTGAGTGAGAGATGTGTGTTTGAGTTGAAGGGTGGTGGCGAATGCTGGTTAGCTTTGGAAATGGACACCAGGAACTCTGCAGTTCTGAGACGGAGCAGCATTTTCCCCTTTGAATGACCATAACTGATGTTTAATTCTCCTGCTGTGAAGGCTGTTTCTCATTTTCATCCCGTATCAGTAAGTTGCCCTTGTGTTTATCTTGCAGGTTTCTGAGCATGGCGAGGATGGACAAAGCAGAGCAGATCGGAGCAGGACTTGTCACTCCCCAAATCCTAGAAATTTTAGTTCATACGTACACTTGCCAGTGGCTGTGGGCAACCATTTACTTGGTGTAAAGAACTTAATATCAGTATAAACTGGCTCTGGGCAGTGTCAATGATGCTGCACTTTGAGTTGTAGCAGCTGTAATTGTGAATATTACTGAGATAGTGAAACATGGTGTCCAGTTTTCTATTGCATTTTTTTCAAGTGGAAAAGTTAACTAATGGTTGACACACAAGTGAAGAAAATTGTGCATATGCCAATTTTGTTACCTTTTTACTTTGAACTACACTGCTTATGAGATCTCATTGTTTTGGAAGAATGGCATGAACAGTCTTCGGCAACAGTTGTGATAATTGTAAATGCTCACAATTGTGCACTCTTTTCTGGTTATTCCTCCCTGGGTTTTGAAAGTTGTACACTTAAAACATTCTTAAAGTTGTTGGCTTCTATGTGCAACATACCAAGCCAGCTGACATGGTAGTAACCAAAGATTCCAGTTTTTAAGCGTATGAAAGACTCTGCCTGCTTACCTGTGCTAGAAATAACAGCATCTAAAGTGAAGACTTAAGAGAAACTTAGCGACTACTAGATAATCTTTAGGACTCTGCATTAACTCTATAATGTTCTTGGTATAAAAGGAAAAACAGCATATTTGTCACGAAATTTAGTTAACATCTTACAACTGAACCTGTATGTAAGTTGCTTAGATAAATGTAATCACTGTAAACATCTATATGATCTGGGATTTTGTTTTTATTTTGAAGCGGGAGCTTTTTTGTTTACAAGTTCATTAAAAACTAAAAACTGTTTCTGTAAGGAAATAAGATTTTTTTTAATTTGCCTTGTTAATTCAGTTTGAGAAATCTACATTACCCTGTTTTTAAACCAAGTTTCAAGGCCATTTGTTAAGCAAAAGAAGTCATATTTCTTTCTAAATCATTTTAGATTTAGTGTTGTAACTCTTCCTCATTTTGTTTTTAAATAAATTTTGTATTTTTTCCTTGAGGGGGAAGGGGCAGTCTTGCATTTTTATAACTTGTTGTTGGAGACCAGCCCTCTGTACTAAGATTGGAATTTTTTTAAAATGAAATGGCATCTTTTGCAGACCCGGTACTGGCAGCGCCTGAGCGTTGCCATGTCAGGTATTGGCTGGACTGACTTGTGATTGCTAGTTTTAAGAAAAAATTGAATGGAGTATTTGAATGGTTTTAAACCAAGGCATTTTATTTCAAGTTCTTGTGAAGTGGATATGACCAGATTTACTCTTGTTCTTGGGGACAGCCTCGCACCATGCAGAGTTCACATTGGTTACTGCCCCAGGCTGTCTTCCTTCTCACTCCTATTCTAGCCCAGCTGAAAGAAAGAAATACTTTTATTGCTGGTAATTCTTTAACAGTGTAATTTATTCCTTTATAGCATGTCAGAATAAATTAAAAAAATGTCTGAAAATGCTGCCAGATGCCTATTGTGTAAATGTTGTTTGTATGTTAGCTTTTTAGACAGTTTCCATGCATGTAGCAGAGTTCCTGCTCACAGTTCATACTTTCACTGTTTGAAAAGGTCTTTCATTTTGACAACCATTTCTTCAAGATCATAACACGTACACTGTGCACTCTGTCACCACGGAGCAGTAATCTGGATCAAGGCCACACTCTCATGTGGTCACTATGCATACTCCCTTTACGTGAAGGACCTGCCCTGAGAAGATGTTAAACTTTAGCTGGAGAACATTGCGGGCTAATAAACATTTGGATAGATAATGTGGGAGTGCAGGGAGGCAAAAAGTCTGCCTGGCGTCAGAGATACTGGTGCACATTGGGAACTTCTCTTCTGAGTCAGAGCGGTCTCTCTGTTACCTGGAAGGTGGAAGAAGAAATGTAGCTCATTCTTCTGGCTAGGATGTCTTCCTAGGCTCCGAGTATTGCCCTGTCAGAATAAGGAAGCTTTACAAGCAATGCCTCATGAAAACTGGTATGTTTCTAAGAACTGGTATCTAGAATACTGTGTTATGTCCTTACATATGATTCCTACTGTCTAGGCAAGGCATCTGACAACGCGCGTTGGCAGATGGGGAAGGAGCATCAATGAAATGTCGTCTTGGCAGCTGTTTTCAGAGTGGCTGCTTGGAATTGTTTTGGCACCACTTTCTTGCTTGACATGAGGTATTTGAAAGTCAGAGGAAGTAATTTGTTTTCAGGAGAAGAAATTATTTCCTCTGTCCATTAAATTTACTCATGACTTTGAGGAGGGTTGTCAGAAACAGAACTGCCCTTGATAAGCACAGTAAGCAAGAACAGATCAGGTGCTTGGAGTGTCAAAATGCATTGGTTTGTAGTTAAAACTGCAAGCCTTGTCCTGTGGAGGAGCCTGGAGTCCATTTAGTCTTTCAGACCTGGTGTATTAATGGAGTTCCCTTCGGCACAGAAGTGTGAGCTTAAACTGTCAGCTGTGTTGTGCTGCGGTGCAGAAAACCAGCCTGCACCACACATGCTGAACAAGGTGGCAACCTTCCTTAAAGAGATGCTGTGATACTGAATGAACACTTGTTTGCTGTATGATCTACTTGATTTGTAACAAAGACAACTGAAAGCATTAAAAGCTATGTGGATCTTGACTTCTTGTTGCAGCTCTGCAAAGGGTTTGTTCTGGGAGGTTTATCTACTGTCCTGATGAAGTCAAAAACTTCTGCAAGCAGTTCCCAGGCCCTTTACAAGTAATTGCTGTTATAGCAGATGCCATAATGCACAACCAACTACAACCTCAAGCTCCCTGGAAAGTGCTAGAATTCAGGTAATGACATTAGGCTGTGACAACAGGTTCTTGGTCATCTTCCTAAGCTGTGTATGGAGTTTCAAAGCAATTTGTTAACCTTAGGATGCCTCTCAGAGTTGTTATAAGGCCACCTTCTAAAGGCTTGCTTAATTTGGAGTGTAGACTGCTCTCATGTGCAGCGTATTGGTTCATTATTTTTAACCTATTTAAGCCATTCCTTGTTACAAGCAATGAAGAGGGTTTTTTTTCCCATAAAAGGCTCTGAAAGAAGGACAGGCTGCTCTAGCTTTCAGTTATTAACAGTAAGGTCGATCTCACTGCCTTGCCTACACTTGTGTGTAGTAAGCAATGAATCCAAGCCTGGCTGTGTTGAAAATGCTGTCAGTCTGAAAGCTAGGTATGTCACTGCTAGGTGCATCAAGCCTGGCCAGTGCGTGCCATCCTAATTTCTTTTGCCGATTTCTATTGAATTCCATATGGGGGTTATTTTTCAAGCGTACGTGTTGACTTGCTCTGCAGTTGTGGTGCTGTGCCTGTTCTCAGTTGGCTTTTTCAGGTGCATTGCTTGCAACCTGCAGGAACTTGCATGTGCTCTGTGTGCTGTGCCTTTCCTAAAATGGACTGCAGCGGAGGTGAAGGTGCCTGGGTCCCAGCTGTGCTGCTGCCAGCAGGAGGTTGGGCTCAGTGCCTCCCTGCAGCCCTTACAGCTGCGATTTTTCAGTGATCCTAAGCTGCCTTTTTGCATAAGGCTTTAATTTCTCTTGAGAGCAGATTTGTTGCTTAGCCAGCTCTGTCAGCCCCATCTCCTCCTTAATTGCAGTGAAATCATCATGATTTCATATCGGCTTGGTGTTGTAATACAAGATTATGAGCATGGCAGGCTCCAGACCAAAAGGAAGAGTGGGCTGGGAGGAAGAGCTGCCTGGTCCGAGCATTAATGCCTCTGGAAACATGAGGCGAGGGACAACGCAGAGGAAGTGCCCACCCTCCTAATTGGGCCTGAGTGGAAAGACTGCGTTCATGACATGTCCTAATGTGGAAATGGCTCTTTAATCTAATCCTTGTTATCCAGGTCTAAACAGGAAGGGGGGGAGGGTGGTGCCAGGTCTGTGTGCAAAGAATTGAGATTAAATGTGCTGGGATGCAAGGATGGTCATCGTTTTCAGCTGCCTGAAGGAGGCTCTTCAAAACAGACCCAGAATTGTGTGTTAAAGGAAGGCTGTGTCCAAAACGCAGGGCTGCGTCCTTGTTTCTTAAGGAACCACAGTGGGCTCAGCTGCTTTGCCAAGCTCAATACTGAAGATGTGAAATGTTTTAAATTAAGATACTGACTTTTTGCATCATATGAGATATTATCAGATGTGGTTGTTGCTAGCTGGAATTTGGTAGGAGCTAGGGAGTATTCTCACACCAGCCTAGGGTGAATAGATTTCCAAATATTTTGTCAATGAAATAATTGTGAAGGTGATGCAGCTCCTTTTTCAGAGAACAGCTTGACATTTTGATATCGGGGGCTGCTTCTGGAAGTACCTGAGCACACTTAGTCCAAACTGTTCTGTTTTCCCTCCCCAGGAGCCCTTTGTTCCTGTTGATAATGTGGGTTGATTTCTGTAAACACAGCTGGTTTTAAC